CCTGTGTGCTTGCGCAGAGATCCAGGGCCATCTCCACCAGCGAGGAGCCACTGCACCGGTCCCTGCCCTGGGTCCCCTGCCTCCCTGCCTGGGGCCAGCCACACTGTTTGCTCTGGCTTCCTGCGGCTATGAAGCAGAAGCTGTCTGCAGCGGGGCCAGGACTGTGCCCTGGCCCTGCTGATCCTGGCCACTGTCTGCCGAAGGGGGAGATGGACATATCAGAAGACTGTACCTGACATCATCCCTGGGCGAACCCCCAACTGCTGGGCTCATGGCAGCATGCACACCCATGAGGGAATAGCCAGATGTTGGAGTGCTCACTGCTTGTCCCTGGGCTCTGCCCCCTAGGCACCCCCACCCCATGGCTTCCAACCCTGAGAGGACACTCACAAGCCAGCACAACAATGTACACAGTTTGCAAAGGGAAGAGTGTGTTTTATTGGTGGTGGGTGGGGTGGGTGGTGGTAAGGCTCTGTTGTTGCGGGGGTCTGTTACTGGGGAAGGAGGAGGAGGGAGTAGGGGGAGGTCTGTGGTTGGGGAGGGAGAAAGGAGCGGGGCATCTGTTTCTGTGAAGGCAGTAAAGTGTTTTTTGGAGAATTGTTTTCAGTGAGCATGGTGCTGTGTGGCAGGGATCCATGGGCAGCTGTCCAGGTGGGCTACAGTGGGGAGTGCAGGAGGAGATAGTCGGCCAGCGTCTCTCACACCTGGTGCCCTGGCCCCTGCTGGTGGGTGTGTGCCTTGTCCAGGGCCTCAATGGGGGTCACTGGGGCCAGCAGGGCCAGCACCATGGCCAACAGGAGCCCAGGATGCTGGCCGTCATTACCAGGGGCAGGGGCCAGAGCAGCCATGGTGGGTGGAGAGGCAGAGGCTGCAGTGGGGGAGGCAGAGGCTGCAGTGGGAGAGCCTTCGCATGCTGCACCTGGGCTCTGCACACTGCTTCCAGTCAGAAAAGCAGCTGGCCAGGGAACAGGGAACAGAGTAGGCCTGTGTGAAGTGGCTAATATTTGCTTCGGATTCGGCCAGTTCGGAGGACAGTGATCCGATTCGGTGATTCGAATCACTGTCCCGAACTGATCACCCAGGCCCATCTCCTGCCCACTCTCCCAGGCTGGCAATAGCTGCCCCAGCTCCTAGCACTTTGAAAAAGAAAGCCCCGACTCAACAGGTGCTGCCAGGCAGGGTGGTGACCCCTGCTGCCCCACACTGC